ACCAAAGTTATAATACCATTTCATGCTCATGAAAGGTATAAATATAAATTGTTAAAGAGTGTCAATACAAGTCGCCGGAGCGCACTTGTGCACAAGGGTATTATAACATAACGGTTGTTTGTACCAGCCTAAATGAATCGATATAGGTATAGACATACTAAATATACCAATAAAACAATTAAGTATGTTTTCATTAACAGTTAATTAATAATTTAAAGAAACTCTTAGCCTATATCGCTGGAGCATGTACATTTTCCTGACAGAATTGACTAGGGTACGATATAAAGTATCGTTCAAAACAACGACGAAGTCTCGATCTATTTTCACAAATAATTACTCAATGACATCAGAAAAAAGTGATTCATAGTAGAGACGAGCAAAAAAATAGATATTTACGCTGAGATATTTTAGTACAACTTTTCGTTCTCATTCTCGCACTTTTGTACTAGGCTTACAATTCGTTTATTTTTGTAAAAATATGTAACCATAAAACCTATTGACTAAAGCAATGGAAACAACTTCTGAAGATCTGTAAGATAATTTAAATAATTAGATGAACGAAAAATGTGTAATGGAATTTGGCTTGTGTAAAAAATCGAATAGATAGAATAAGTAATTCAGGTTAATATTTTTGGCGTAATTCCAGATAATCCGTGCTTAACGCGGTTGGGTCTTTCGGGTTACACACCTGCCAATTCTGATTTCTGGTCACCGCTCCATGAACGTAAAGCGCACGAGTTTTGTAAGCTTCACAAAACAGAACGTTCGACTTGTCGGAATATTAACGGGACAGTAGACTATTAACTAGCCATTGAAGATTTAGAGATGAGGAAGAGATAGAATTCGTGCAGCACTTCCAATGTGAGTGCCTCTCACTCTGTAGAAAGCACCTAAAACTTCCAGGGGACCATTTTTCGATGGCTTAAATAGTTTAGGGAAAATTTCATTATGGCTACAAGGAAGGCGCTAGAAAAGCTGTATGGTTTAGAGACATAGGAATGAGAGCGACAAGTCTGCGGAAATCCTCTCCTGAGCCTGTACAGGCTCGGAGTGAGTACTTTACCCACCTTCTCAAATTAATCAAATTATTATTTTTTTAATTTAAATATACTTTTTGACTACAGCATTGCCTGATTTATTTGTCTGCTGTGGCTCTTTAGTTCAAAACAAACTTTTAAGTGGATTAAATTAACCAATTTCATTAATGCTGAACTTCCACTAGGTATTAAATGACAACATCTTTAATGAAAATGTCCCCGCAATTATGTTCACAAAAACAGTCATTAAGTCTGTTTCCACATGGCATTTTTTAAAATTTTCATTTTCATTTTTTCATTTTAAAGTGTCTCCAATAAAATACTTTAAATGATCGAAAGTTGCAAATTTTCAACAAAAAACTCGATTGACTCAATGAAGGATAAGTTTTCTTCGTTTTTCTTATGAATTTTTGTGAGAAACAATACCCATTATTCAACAAAAAATTTGATAGACTTTGCATTCAAGTTGCTTTTTTTACGAGTATTCTTATACTAGACTGGAAAACATTTCGCTTTGTTGTTTATCAGAATTTCATACATTTTTTTCTGTTTCATCTTTTAGTTTTTTAATTTAGTTTTTTAGACTTACAATAACATAAAATTTTTTAATTTTATGACACATTTATTGTTTGTTTATTCTATCTAACGTATTCTAAGTGGATATTGCTTCAGGCTTGTTACGTCTATCCAATTCTTTTTTCAACGATCTACTACTTCATTTGCTAGCTAAACCCTATTTTTACAAGTGTTTGTGAATTTTTTAAGTCAATTATAATATTTCTTAAGTTAATTTTCTTGTTGTCTTAAACCTGTAATATAATTTATATGTAATTAGTTTACTTAAAGCTTTCGTAAGCTTGTGTGTTTCAACTTTCTACTGGATGGAAAAATAGCCCTACATGGCGTGCTTCAAATGCTTAATGAATGCAGTTTTTTTTTTTAATGGAAAAAGCTCACTCTACACGTGCGGCAATAGCTCTTGTGGTTGTGCGGCTGCAACATTATTGCCCACCTGTGCCGGCGGCGGTGGCGCACCCGTACCGCCACCGCTACCCTCGACAGAGCCGCTCTCTGCCTCCGAATCCTTGATGGAACCACCCTCCTCGTCGCCGACAAGCGCGCGATACTTCTTGGCGATCGCTTCCCAGTCAGCTACATTCTCGATGCGATTCTGATTGGCAGCGGTAAAACTGGTCTGCGATCCAAGTGGCGATAGATGTACAACGGATAGAGCCACAGAGTCTACTGGCAATCGAAAAAGTTCAAGAGTAACGGTTGTTTGTGTTGGTACATAAAAGTAGGGCAAAACAAATTAAATTAGTTTATGTGCTTATTCTCCAGGGGTATAAGTGAATTGCGAAATTTTGAGCTAGCGCAAGCTAGAGAGCCAATTTTAAGTGACTTAAGTGGGGTAGAAAAAAGACTTTTCTCTTTCATTAGTTTATTCAAAAGTGCAAATATTTACATGTGAGCTTTCCAAAAGCTCAACGCGCTTTTAAGCTGCTTGGTTCACTTCGCTACGCGTAGCTGCAAAACTCGCGCTCAAGGCACACGTTCGCTTCACAAGCTCAATTCATTTACGACAGTGGCGACCAGAGAGCACAGAGCAGTACGCAAACTTAAAAAAGCTCTGCCCGCGAGCTACATTTTGGACGTCACTGATTCGCAATTTCATTACGTTAGTATATACATAGTTTGCTGGTGAAGTGAACGTGGCTTTCGATGTTTTGAACTAAAATTGGAAAGCAGCATTGCAGCGACACATACATTTCCTACCTTTCTTGATCTTCGAGAGCCATTTGGCGCCAGCCTTTGTGCGCGGGCTGGCCTGACGTATTCCCATCATCTGTACCAGACTTGGACGCTTCTTTTTCTTCATGCGCGCCTATGCGATGAAATTGGCATGGGTATGTAGTTATTGTGGATTGTGGTGGTTGATGATCGGTGATGAGCAATACGTAAACGCAAAACGCAAACGCGTGGGCGTTGGCAGTTAGCAGTTGGCAGGCAATTGGTGACGGAGGCAAGAACATGAGACAACAACAACAATAACAAACACACATGAGTACGAGCTGCGGCAATAAGACGAACATTGACTAAGATTTGTGCTGTGCGTTTTTAGTGCAAAAGTGTAACTACTAACTAGGGCTTTAGAGAGTGTACAGGACAAGTAACAGGGTGAATCTGTGAGTAAAAAGTGTGAAAGCGTTTGAAGTTTTTGACACATGTAAGCGACAGTATAGATTAGAATATCACGTATTAGCTAGAAAATGAAGGTAAAGTAAAGTAGAGGGTGCAGGATAAATAACTAAAAATACATAAGAAATAAATTGGTTGTTGCCATTTTGTTTTAAATGGGTTGGGGAAAAGGTCAACTATTTGCCAGTTAGTTAAGAGTGCTTTTGGGAACAAAATTTTCTGTTCCTATTTTTTATTTTTTTTTGTGGCGGATAGACCCGCTAAAGCAGCTGTTATACACATTCTTGTTGTTTACCTTGACCTTCTCGACGATCCATATAAACCATGTGGTAACTAAATTAAGCGGCGAGGGCGCTGTTGTTGTGCGATGCATATTGCGTATAAGCTTGGATAGGCCAAATTTCCATTCAATATCGGATTGAGCCTAAATTTCTCGAAACAGCAGCCATAAAGCATTTGCGTTTTGTTTTCAAAAAACAGCAACGCATTCCAAAAAGAGGAGGCGCATAGTAACATATATGATGGAATGAGTTTTGTAGAGATGAAGATTTGCAATCCATTAGATGTGCATATTATTTATGTTTGTGTATGTCGATGTAAAGATGGGAGAAATAAAGAACAAATATGCAATATTTAATTTTCAAAGCAATCAAAATTTGCTAAATTTATTTTATCAATCATCACTTGTACGCTGAAAAAAGACGTATTAATTAAAGTACAAATACACTCAAAGGCCTGCAAGCGTCGAAAATTATATGAAATTATTTCTAATATTGTTATTCTTTCAATGCAACAAATGCATACAATATTGATAGATATTTTCTAGTGGTTTTGAAGTCGAAATCTTATAGCCAGCTGCCGTTATTGTACTCCCTTTAAAAACATTGTTCATTTATATTGTGTAACGCTAGAAGATTTCAATTTCATACGAAAGCTTTCGATGAGCTCTCACACAAAGCGCCGAAAGCTTTCGCCTTTTTATTGAAAGTAAAACAATATTAGAAATTAACAAAAAAAAAAACATAATAATTATAAAAACAAAACATAGTCATGCAATAACACATGCAAGAATTTACACAGAAAGCACAGACACATAGTTATACTGTATTGCACTAGCGCTAATAAATTTTTTCACACCGAAAGCTTATAACTTTTGTAAGTTTATGACAAGCTTGGAAGCTCGGCATTTGTGTGAAAGCACATTTTTCGCTTTCCACTACGCTAACACATATTTAATACATACTATGCCTTCTATTCTAATTATAAAAAAAAAAGTTTGCTGAACACAGCACTAAACTACAAGGAGAAGCTAAGCTTTTTAGAATAGCACTTCGTCATCGTAAAGAAACAACTGACGAAAATTGTATCTTTAAGACCCTTTTACGGTTAATGTTAACGCTGTTCCTTTGTCGCGAACTGAAGTTGCAAGTCTGGGCAAATGATGGATTTACTTTATATTACTTGACGACTGGAAATAAGCTTTATAATATGTAGTTACTTTAAATGAAATTAAGCTTTACTAGGCAAAAAGCTTGTTCGTATTTACATGCTTGGAAGCTGCTAAAAGCTTAGAAGCTTTAGATATTTAAAAAGTTTTGCACAAAGCTTCCAAATGTTCTAACCTATATATATTTATTTTCATTTTTTGGTAACTACGTATTTTAATCATTTCAGCTAAAGCTCGGTTATGAAAGCCTTTAAAATATTTAATCTTAAAAAAATATTAACACGAGGGTAGATTGATTGATCAGTGACTTTTTGATTAAAAAAACATTTCATACGAAAGCTTTATTTCTCAAATTATGCGCCATTTAGCTCGATACTTTTAGCCAGGAGCTTTTAAAATCGTGTTTCAGTCCAAAGTTTAAATTTCCTCAAGATCCCCAAAAGAGCCGTTCCTTCGATCCAAGCCTTTTGCTGAAAAGCCATATCTAGATCTTTGCAAGGCCCATCGGTGATCGCCTTATCTCTTTTCAAGTAATCGATGTGAAGACATTGGTGGGAATATAATTGCATACGCCGACGATATTATAATAGCTATCTCGGACCTCTCAACATTAGCCGATCTAATTCAAAGATCTCTTAACAGGCTATCCCTATGGTGCAATAAGCGACAACTGGGAATAAATCCTGAAAAGGCAAACCTAGTGGTCTTAACTAGAAAGCACAAGATACCCGACCTCGATGCTATAACCCTTGAAGTAAAGGAAGAGACCAAATATCTAGGTCTCATACAAGATAGGAAACTAAGCTGGGGATCCAATATTGCAGACAGAGTAAGCAAAGTAACAGTAGCACAATACCCTAGGAGCAGGACAATAGGAAAAATATGGATAATGCACTGATTATATACAGCGGTAGTTAGGCCCATTCTCTATCACGGCATAGTGGTATGGTGGTACCCCCTCGGAAAAGAGGTAAAGCTTAAAAACATGGATAAGGTTCGCGTCCACACCCGTAACTGGTGCGATAAGAGCAATACCATCCAAGACACTGTATGCCATGTAAATAAGTGGTAAAATACCAGTTATGGTCCTGGTAGAATATTAACGGAGTTTTCGGAGCTTCCCGGATTGGTGGACTACGCCCTTTCGGACCCTGCGCGTTTACGATGCTCCCTCAAGGGAAGAGTGGAAACGAGACTCTCTAAGAGTGGTGAGGAGTGACATTCATGTATACATAGAGGGCTCAAAGCTCGAGGGTAGCATTGGTGGGGGTGTATACTGCGAACACTAGGGAATATCCCTTAGTTTTTGCCTTCCCGACCCCTGTAGCACTTTTCAGGCGGAACTGATGGCAATCGCCGGGGCCACAAAACTGGTATAGTGTGATATGATATTCCAAGCTGATATCTAGATCTTCGCCGACAGCGAGGCGGCAATCAAATCCCTTTCGAAGAAGTCGACAACCTCCATGGTAGCCATGAAATGCCGCACATCTCTTAACGAGATGGCTGATATGGATTCCGGGACACTGCGAAATTGAGTGTAACTGTAAGGCCGATGAACTGGCGCGACTTGGCACCAAACTCCCTATTGAGGATATAAACGATGAAGTAGGAAAGCTCTTACAAGCTTGCAAGCTACTTATTTCCGAGAGATAACCTGCAAAACTGTCAGGAAATTATGGCCGGCGCTCAGCGCTAAACGCAATGGCCTGCTACTGAGCTTAAGTAAGCAGAATATCAGTTTGTTAATATCTGTTATAACAGGACACTGCCTAGTTGGCAGGCATGCGGTATTCAAACTGTTTGTATATGCAGAGTTGCGACACATTGCAACCATATACATTGCATATTTTAAATATTCAATATAGCAATGAACAATTTTTCTGAATTTTCCATTTGTAAAACACCAATGCTAACCAATAACAAACGAAGCATCAACTTTGTTTCTGATGCCCTGATTGCTCTAGCAATGCATTTCGATAACTTTTCGGATGCGTTTTGGAACAGTATACAATGTCAATATTTTGTAGTTTGACGTTATGGAACCTTATACTTTGTACGTATGCAATGCAATTGACGTTTTGGAAGTCAGCCGTTGTCAGGATGAAGAAGAGGAGGAAACGATTCTGTACCTGTTGTGCCGCTGACCTGCTCTATTCAGACGAAGACTCTCAACTTTTGGTAGACAATGCTTCAATAACATGGAGGGCCTCCTGCGAAGTCCAAAATGGTTTTAGGAGGGATTGCGAGTTGGTGATCCCACATGCGGCATCATAATGGGCTCGGAGCCTAAGTGTTTCTTATAGACGACCGCGACAACCTAACCTAACCTAAGATCATTCCATAGATTTTGTAGTCGTTTTCTGTCTCAACGACCTCTTCTGGGCGACCAGACCGAAATTGAGTGAACCACATTTTGACCATTCAAATTGATATCACAGAGTACCCGTACTGTTAATCAAGCCTCTCCTTGGTTTTGGTGATGAGTTTTTCTCGAAAAAAAGAATGCTTGGTTGGCACAAGAAATTTTCTTCTTTACATTCACTTCGAAAGTCACGATGTTGCCTACATTCCATGACTCAAAACTTGACAGTTGTCCGCTGAAAGACGGTTCAAAAAGCCTCTGACCTATCAAGCGGCCCTCGTATCTTTTAGCTGAAGCTCGGTTATGCAAGCCTTTAAAATATTTAGGCATTGTAAAAATATTATTATTGTACAAAATATATGTAAGTATGCACGAGCATATAAAAATAGATGTAACCTCGTCCCTCGAAGTTCACGCTTTCTGCCTATATAAAATTTTACCAGACCGTTTCTTATTACCACGCTTTCTCGACGACTCAAAGTCAAACCATTAGTAAACATAAACTCACAATTCCATACTCAAGTACATGTGTATGTACATATGTACCGTAAAGGAATACTACCTGTATCCGTTGATAGGTGTCAGACATCATAGCAATCAACAGGTTGATTAACACAACCACCGACACCAACATATAAATGCCGAAGACTATTTTGAACAGATATTCCACCCAGTATGGCTGAGTGGGCTCGGCCACATTTTGTATCTTGTCAACCTGCGTTTGTTCGGTTGTCGTCTGACCGAAAACGGCGAAGAAGAGTAACTCAAACGAAGTAATCGGATGCATGCGCACTACGTCCAGCGCAACAAATACAAACAAACGCATTAACGTATAGCCAATAATAGACAGGACATAGCGCGCAGGATATTAGTAATAATTAATAATCACAGTATGAGAAAAAAAATCACCACCAACACAGCAATCAAAATATTTGGTGGCGTCCATATTTTTTTTTTGTTTGACACCATTTTCGAATTCACACAATAATCGTCAAGTTTTTATTTTATTGTTTTTTTTTGATGTTTGCATATAATTTGTTAAAACGCATTCAATAAATTGCATTTAAAATGGGGGAAGAGAGAAGAGAACACACAAAAAAAAAAAACGTACAATTAATAAATTGCATGCGATACCAACCTGTATGCGTTGATAAGTATCCGACATCATAGCAATGAGCAAATTAATGAGAACAACCACAGACACAAGCAAATAGATGCCAAATACGAACTTGAACAGAACCTCGGTCCATTCGGGGCGCAGGTGGCGCATTGGATTGATGTCGACGGTCGTTGTCTGTCCAAATACGGCGAAGAAGAGACGCTCGAACGCCAAAAATGGCGTCATGGGTCCTTTAGAGATTTGCAATATTTTATGTTTTTATATTTTGCGGGATTTGCCACATTCGGAGGGAATCGAAAGAAATGCCAAGATACACTTTGATTAGTAGAACTTCGTGAGTTTTGTTAAAAGTTTGGCAACACGATAGCGCATTTGGACACCAAGTGACGGTGAGTGAGGCGTGACAGCTTTTTTTTAAATTGTTTTTTTTTTGTGTTTTGTGCACCACTCACGTTTAAAGCAACACAACTTTGAGGTAAATACCAGTAACTAACATCGATTTTGCTTTGTGCAGAAGCTGTAGGCAATCCCAACTGAAATTGGTTACACATACATATGTACATATGTATGCCATATAGTAGCTTAGGATAAACATCAACATGCGCCTTAATGAAAAGGATTAGTATTTGCAAATAGGTAAACGAAAATTATAGCAGGTGAAGCAAATAAATAAAATAAATACAAAACAAAATATTCGAAAGCAAAGTTTGTAAACCGTCTATATTTGTTGAGAATGTAACTATGCCTACCTCCTTGTTTGAAAGCTCGCTTTTTTGGCATAACCAGGGACTGAACATAACAGTTAAAAGTGTCATGGAAAAATTCACTATGAAGGAAATGTTCTACAACTAAGTGATACAGAGCAATCGATTTCTTTTTTCGCCGAGACTCGAATTTGAAAATAAATTTTTATTTGCAATTTTTATGCAAATTAAAAAAAAAATATTTATGATTTTTATGTTGTAAATCCAAAATAACAATTATTTTTGATTTTTATATTGCATGTCTTAGATAAAAATTATTGAAGACTTTTATTTACAAAAGTCATCAATTAATAAAAGTCTTCAATAAAAATTAGTCAGTGACCTTTACTTTCAAAAGTCATCAATATAAATCAGACAATGACTTTTTTTTTATTTTTTAAATCACTCGTATAAAAGTCATTAAAATTTTTCGCAGTTAAGAAGGTATTGGGTAACAAAACTTTCTACAACTTATACAAATGACTTTTATAAGTATGATTTAAAAAATAAAGGTCAGTGACTGATTTTTATTTATAACTTTTATGAACATAAGTCTTCGATAACTGTTATCTAAGACATATAATTTAAAAAAATTAAAAATAATCGACATATCGCTGAAAACATAAGATATTATCTTCTAAATACTAAATGGAATATAAATATGGCTCCAAGATGAGCTACTAGGAACTATGTATATCGGGTATATCTTTTTGACCTAAATTACCTATCTACTTCGCCAGTAATATGTACCAAGAACCTTACTTATTTCCCTGCTGAATTCATGTATGTTTTGAAATTTTTGTTGTTGTCAAGGGGATGAAGAGCCTTGAAAATAAATTTTGATCGATCTATATGGGTCAAAATCATGCAGGTGGAGAATTTCAGTTGGAAAGAGTTTTTAGTTTAAAATTGCAGTAAGTTTACAATTTTGTCTCGTTTGCCGATTTATATAATTGACAGTCAACGACACATTTAAACGGCTTAGTTAAATGTATCTTCATTTTTTATTTTATTCCATTCGAAATAGCCGATAAATCATTTGGGGAACGCTTCCACAATCCATTAAGAGAAATTTGATTGACCAAAAAAACACGTTAAAGTGGATTGAATTTGAGTAACAACATTCGTAATATTGCTGACCTAACATTTTGCTGTTTATTTTTAATTCAAAAGTTGTTCGAAGAAAATTTATCACTTCCTTATTATTTTATATGTTGTACGATCTCATTGGTCACATCACTTACCGCCTTAAGTGCTGAGAACATTGAAAACGACGAGCTACGGGCCACAGCTTCCAATTTGTTATCTTCATTATCTAAACGCATGATTTCTTTTGAACGCGGCAGCGATATCATGAATTTGTATGAGTTTGACATAAAAGAAGAGGAAGCACCTTATCTGTCGCTGGAAAAATAGAAATAGATCTAATCTGGCCACAGCCATAGTCGTCGCGTAGCCCGGTCGTCGCCAAAATAATCATCTACATAAGAATAAGTGGAAAAATAATTTGACAGCTGTGGTCCGTAGCTCGTCGTTTTCATTGTGTTCGGGCTATAAGTGACATCCAGCTTATGCCGTTTGGCCGTAAAACCCGTTTTGCAGAAAATATGGACATACTGATTGTATCGAAATCGGAAGGATATCCACTTTAGGCCTAAATTCTTAATCAATACCTGGATTTTTAGTGAGCCTGTTCATGTTAATTAAAAAATTTTTGCTCTGCCCGTTCATAAACTAAATTGACGACGACCTACTTCAATTCAACAACAGTGAAAAGCCAATTTCATAATAAAGCTAATTTTTTATTTTTACCATAACTAAATTCTCCACCTCCATGATTTTGACTCATATGGGTATTTCCAATCTGGCGTTACGTTACGTTCGTATGAAACAGTAGTGGATTTTGACTTAGGTAACAAATTTACAAAACTTTGCTAATCGGGCAAGTTTTTGTAGTAATATTGCAAATGCTTAAGCTTAACTTTCCAAATTTTTAAATGTAGAAATATTTTCTGCTTTATGTTTGATCAGCTGAATTATCTGAAGTGACGTAAAGTGAAGTAAATATCCATTGAAAAAGTTTTGTTAATATTGTTCTTGAAAGAATTTTTACGAGAAGAAATCATGCATTTTATGTCGAACGTACTTTTTATTTCGACATCAGCTACACCAGCGATTCCATTTTTGCAAATCTATGTCTTACTACGTTTCAACTAAACATGCCGAATATAAAAAACAATCAGAGCATAAATAGGGTTATAAAAAAATATCGACCTTGGCGCCATTTTTGGCAAAAATGTTTCTGCACCTGTACCTAAATCTCTGGTAAAGTACCGAAACTTTTGGTTCTGTACCGTGTAGCGAAACGAAGGTTTGGGTACAAGCAAATATACCGGAATATGCAAAAGTATGTACATTAAAAAAAAAAAAAATCAATCAGCTGTTTGACTTGAAGTTGTGTAGCAACTTGAAAGTAAAGATTGATATCAAGTCGACGTTCAAGTTTAAACGTGCGTGTATGTAAGTAAAAAAGTGTGAGTGTATTGCAACTTGAAACCAAGATCTTGATCGTGTAACGTCCAAGTTATTTCTTTATTTGATCGACAATATCGATATTTTCCCCATCAATAGCTCAAATAAGAAAACGAAAAATGTCAAACCTCAAAATGAATCCAATTTAACTGATACAATTTTTCTGTGAAATTACATCGAAGTGATTTTGAAAAAATCTTAAGAAAATTCATAACTTTACTCGGAATTGCACATTCTTTTCGAAACAATGACTGAAAGAGACTATTTTGTTTTGAAATTAAAAAAAATGTTGTAGAAGTGGGAAAAATAATAAAAATTTGTGTTAACTTCAGACTTATTCCAACAACTTTCAACACATTTACAATGTGCTCACAAAACTTATTTATTCTTTAAATAGTACAAACATTCTTCCTTTCAAAGACTATAAAACTTAAAATGGGGTAAAAATTAACAGCTGAACATTTTTTAGTGCGGAAAGTCATGTAAAAATGGTTTTTTAAGAATAAGTCGAGAATTTGAGGGTGTTGCAAAAATTTTAAATGCAGTTTTGTGAATTACTTGACCAGCCCTACGACGTGTACTAGGTCACTTAAAAAGTTCACGATCAGTGTAACACCTTGTGATTAAACATAAGTGGCAAACAATATCACTTCTAAATGGGGGCGCTATAGATTTGGCCAATACTGAATAATTAAATTTAATTAAATTTGTAATCGATTTTATAACATTTACGTAATAAATAAAATAGATCTCAGAATGAACGAAATTAATTTAACTGTACATACCTACGCCTTAAAGTTAACTGAAAAGAAAGGTATGAAAAAAACTCCATTTTGGCTGCTTTTAGGACTTGGTAAAGACGAACATTTTTATGGCGGCGAAATTCTCGCAAAAAAAGGCAAAAGGACCAGAAGTCAGCCAGGGATTGATTTGTAAGTCAAATCCTAAGAACTGCGAAAAATTGGAAAATAAGTATGAAATAGCTGGGTCTTTTACTATGACTAACTGGGACTCTTGAAAGAAACTCACCTTCTTCTTTACCATACCCAGTAATAATTCTTGCTTTAATTGTATTGGCCATCATTTTCTTTACTACCAATCCGATTCCATCATTGAGGTAAGGTGGATCAAGGCAACGAAAGAATTATATGTCACTTGTTTCAAAGTTATCGTTCTCTGCCGCCTACGACTTCTTGCAAACTCTCATCCCTCTTTAGTTTTCTACAGGAAATTCTGTTTAGCTGTCTATTCGTTGTATGCATACCAAAGATCAAAGATCGTATAACTTATGGTTCTTTCACGCCTATAAAATGTGCCCTGCTCGTGTAAACTCGTTTATATTTACCTCACTACCTATAAGCGCCTACTTTAGTTCTGTTTTCACATCAAATTTAAAAGTCTTGTGACTTATGGTCTCGAAGTTTTAGTTGATTAAAAATTCCACGCCTATGAGATGTCTCATGGCCCCTTTTCAGAGCCCACATTTTATACCCTATGTTATGAATGTTATGTCCGAGGTCACTGTTTAGTCACCAGTTAAAGCTCTATTGAGTCATTTAGGAGAGTTCAAACAAACAAACAGATAGGCAGACAGACAGCAATTATTAGGGACGTTTTGACCATCTCAGTCAAGCATCGTTAACGACGTTATCGACACAATGTTATATGTATGAAGTCAGTGGCGTCGGTAACGATGCTTAACTGTGGATTAGTGTTAACCAGAGATTGTGAAAACGGCCCTTAGGGCCGGTTGTTCAATGTCTGATTAGCGCAAATCGGAGGTAGCACAACTACTGCTTTATCGATCACATGTTACATGCATGATGTCGAAATCGTCGATAGTGTAGTGGTAGTGATAACCAGACATTGAACAACCGGCCCTTAGTGCCTGGTGTTCAACGTCTGGTTATCACTACCTCCCAGTTAAGCATCATTATCGACGTTTTCGACATCATACATAGAACATATGATCGATAAAGCAGTAGTTGTATTTAAAAGGAGTTTCTACCTCCGATTTGTGTTAACCAGGCATTGCACAAATGGCCCTTAAAATGGTCCAAATGTGCATTTGGTCAGCTGTAGGTTTGTATCATTACTTTGTTGTTAGTTTATTACCAAAATAGTTCTAGTTTTTTTACGTCGTTATCGTTTGGCGCACTAAGTTAAATTTGTCGAGCACGCCTGCTCTAAAGTCCGACGAAGCTGAGTGGTAAAACGTCTCTTCTCTAAATCAAAATAATAAGTAGTCGTATATAAATACAAAAAATCATAATATGTAAAATATGTAAAATACCAAACTTTAGAAGTGTTAGGGTGTAGTAAATTTGATAGATTTTTTAAGCGAAAAGTGGTGCAAACAGCATTGAACTCAAAGGGATAATAATAAAACACAATAAAAGCGAGAGAAATATTTTAGAAGAAAGTAAAATGATAGTATTTTGGAGCATGCTAACTTGAGGAATAAACAGAGAGGAAACTCAAATTAATAACCAAAACACTGCTTGAATTGAAATCCTAAGCAAACATTTATACACAACACCAAGGATGCACAGATGAGGGAATGTGATGACCACTCAAAGCTAATATGCCCTTCGAAATTTCGGAGCGAAGGAATGTAACGAATTAAATGCTTTGGAACTAGAAATAACAATAACAACGATCCAAAACAAGGTGTACAAACAGTGTGGATACAACATCGAAGGCAGCACACAAACACAAATACAGGCATTATTATATCGGGCCAGTAACAGGACTTACGATCATCTTTATGTTTGCGTCGAAATTCGCTAGATAAACTTCGACTATCGATATACCGCTCAGCTGAGCTGGGAGGAGGTCGTGGTGTTGGCATATCATCTGTGCGTTTTGTGAATTATAGGAGAAATATAGAAAGACTCAATGTAAGAGCATATTTAGATATTTGTTAAGCAGCAGCAATTCTTTTTTTTATTTTTTATTTTTCAAAGGACATCTAGTACGAGTGGTCTGTAATTGTTCGGCATGCAAGCTATATCCGAGACTTTCAACTTGAAGGCAACCTGTTGCGGTGCCTTCAAGGCAGATACTTATCTATCCATACAGTTTAATTATATGTTTTCATTGAACAAATATAAATGGAAAGAGAAAAGCGAATGCAGTTTCGCAATTTTCTCAGTCACTTTTCTCCTTTCGAAACACAAAAAAAATGGATTCACATAACAAACGAAAATTTAAACACACAACATCGAAGAAGAAAGTACTTACCATCGCTGAAGTATCCGCGATTGCGGTTGCGTTTTTCGAACCCCCGCAAATCCTCCGGCTTAAAGTTCGCAAACGACTGATTCAGCGCTACAATATGCATTGAGAAGCCAAACACGAAAATCGCCAGTACTGCCAAGAAGCGTGCCAAATCCTTCAGCAAATCGCCGATGATGATAGCCCATGGTCCGAAGAGGTGATGGAACGAGAGAAAGTCCAATATTTGCACGCAGGCTAGCAGAAATGCCAATGCGAAACACTGATTGCGGCAATAGATCAGTGTCGGCCAGTATAATTTGGAGACGAAGACGAACGCGGCCACATGCACGCCCACACCGGCCATGCCCAGCAGCAGCACCAACAGTTTTATCGATCCCAATCCAGATTTATCAGATGGATTTGTCAGCTCGAACAAAAGTAAACCACTCAACCAAATGAGCAGCCCAATTTCGTACCAGTAGGGGACCAAACTTAGCCGCAGCACAGGATAGATGGGCGTTATGCCGACTATGCTCAGATGGATCATCAGATAGATGTGCGAGGTGAGATAGGACATGAATTTGATAATAGGCACTTTGTTGAATTTATGGCCCATCGGGAAAGTGAAGCCGATCCAGACGGGTGGGCACACAATGAATGCGACTAAGAGTAGCAGTATTTTCCAGGAAGCCCAGGTGAGTGAGCCGCGCCAGAGTTCCTGTAGGGTAGTGAGAATATAAGCAGTTTGGGCTTAAGGGTCGCGGCAATACTTACTTGCAGATAGCGCTGCACTACAGTGTGTGCAATAACTTCCTTTTGTTCATTTTCAATTAGCACATCTAGGAACTCGACATTTCTACGATCGGTGGCTTGCAGTATTTTTCCTGCCGAATCAGAGCCTGCGGCAAGGGCTAGCAGCTCCGTGGCCATAGCTTCACATTGTTTGCCAGCGGCTACTAGATCTTTGGCGCGTTCTTTTTCCTGTGGGTGAAATTAATTAAATTAAGTTTTTATATGCAAAAACAGACCTCAAAAGCAATCGTTTTATCTGTCTTTAGCCTCCTAAGCAAAGCAGTTAAGTTATTCCCGTCCTTCTCAGTCAACTAATACCCACCTTTGTCGACAAGTTTATATAGATATTTGACAATTTGGCTGCGGTATCCACAGGCGCCGGCGACACAAGCACAAACTCTTGTATCGGCTTGTTGTTGTGATTCTTTGAGACCACCATCAAATTGTACACGAAGCGCTTGTCCTCCATCAGGCTATACGTATCGTGCTCTTTATTCATCAGATACCGCAGCACATCATTGTGGCCTTCGGAGGCGGCGAACCATATCGCCGCGCAACCGTAGTTCGTCTCCGACTTGGGCGAAGCGCCGGCCTCGCATAGTAACTTCACAACTTCCAAGTGGCCGGCTTTGGCAGCACAATGCAGTGGCGTCCAACCGTTTTTGTCGGTGGCATTTATTTCTGCGCCTTGACCCAACAGAATCTCCACCATCTGTATGTGGCCGTGCATGGCGGCGATATGTAGACCAGTCCTGCCATGACGATCCGTCGATTGGAGCAGTTCTGCTGAGCGACTCAGAAGCAAGCCAACCACTGACATGTGACCACCGAAGCAAGCCAAATGGAGTGGATTGTAGCCCTGAAGAATTAGATGTGTTAGAATGTTTAAATGTGAGGTTGAAATTTCATACGAAACTAACGTTTTCTGTCGTTGCCGCCTCCACTTGTACGCCGGCAGAATTTAGTAGTAACCTAACTACATTTTCATTGCCCGAGAATGCTGCCAAGTGCAATGGTGTCATGCCGGATTCTGCCCCCAGTTCACCGAAGAGACTTTGTCCTGTCGGCGGCTCAGATTTCACCGTTGCCGGCACGCTCGTCAACAGCTCGCGCACAGTGTCCGCCTGTCCGTAGTAGGCTGCCACATGCAACGGCGTCAGTCCCAATTTCTTGCTGGTTATCCTCAAAGAGTTGGTACTTTTCAACGCATCCAATACCTGGCCATGCCCGTTCTGTGCCGCCAAATGCACGGCCGTAAAGCCGGCTTTGTTCTCGTCTGTACACGAGGCGCCCGCACGTACCAACGCCTTCACCACGTCCGCATGTCCACCCTCGGCCGCCAGCTGCAGCGGCGTGGCATCAGTCAATTTGTTTCTAGCCGATATCACGCCAGAACGATCGAACTTCATTAGCTCCTCGATCACTTTCACCGAACCCTGCATGGCAGCGATGTGCGCGCAGGTGTTGCCATCCTTGCTGGTGGCATTCACCAGCGACGGATGTTGTTGCAGGAACAATTTGGCCACTTCAGAGTAGTTGTTCTGCGCGGCGACATGTATGGGCTTTTGACCCAGATCGTCGGTCGCGTCTATGTTAGCTCCGAGCTCAAGCAGAAGCTGACATACCTCCATCTGTCCACTAGCGGCGGCTAGATGGAGAGGCGTTTGCTTGCGCAGTGTCAATATATCGATAACAGCATTGTGATCCTTGATGAGAAACTTCACTAGATGCGTGAAGCCATTCATCGCAGCGAGATGTAGCGCCGTGCGACCGACACGCGATTTCGAATTGATAAACGCCTTGTTGGTGAGTAATGCGTCGCAGACGTGCAGATACCCTCGTTCGGCAGCCAAATGCAGGGCGGATCGGCCCTCTGTGTCGAACACATCCACTCTGGCATGATTCGCTAAAAGGTTGTTGACCAGCTCCATGTGCCCGCGGTGACAGGCGATAAGCAACGGCGTCCAGCCTACCGACGTCTGTCGATTCATGGCTTTTTGTATGTCTGTGGGATTCATGTGCGCGATCATCTCCATAAGTACATCGTTGTTGCCAGCGACAGCACAGTAATGGAAAGCAGTCTCCAGCACAGTTTTCGTTGCCAGCGTCACATCTGCGCCATTCTCCAGCAGCATGCGGACAATCTCCTTGTCGGACTCGGGAATTTTGACCTCCTCCTTGGTGATTTGGCATGTGTAGTGTAGTGCGGTGGCGCCATCGTCGTTAACTGAATTAATGTAGGTGGTAGCCTTGTCGGGGCCATGTTTCTCCTTGACCATTTCGATGAGATGTCGTACGATTTCAGGGTGACACGAACGGCAGGCCATATGCAGTGACGTTTCGCCGGTCTGTAAGGAAGTTAAATGCTTGTAGTTGGTAAGTTAAGTACCGCAAACTTTATGTGCGCGTGTAGAACTTACATTGGATTTGTATAGCGGATCGCCACCATCTTCGAGGAGTTGTGTCAGCGTTGCCAGATTACCGTTACGCGCGGCCACATGCACCGGCGTCAGGCCATCATCGGTAGTTAAATTGGGACTAGCTCCGGACTTAAGGAGCATTAAGGCACAACGATCGCCATCCTTAACTCGTGCGGCAATATGCAACGGCGTTTCGTGCATCGCACCGCCACGGACATGGACATCGGCGCCGAAGCCAAGCAATGTTTCGACGACGGCTGGCTTCGCAGACTCCACAGCAATATGGAGTGCTGTGTAGTTCTCCTGCAGAAATGGGTAATAAAACAAAATGATAAAAATAATTACTCAAATCGTTTAATGCCAACGATACCCACATTCGTCGTCACATCAACTTTTTCGCCCTTCTGCAGCAGCGTGTTGATGATGCCGGTGTGGCCGTAAGCGGCCGCGGTGTGAATGCTGCGCGCGCCATTCTTATTTGGCATGTGTAGATAGACGCCCTTCTTGAAGAGCATCGTCGCGCACTCGGCATGGCCATTCAGCGAGGCGATATGCATCAGCGTGCTGCCATCCTTTGTGCGTTCGAAGATGCTCGCCTTGAATTTGTCCGCCAAAATTTCAATGATGTGCGCATGGCCATTCTCAGCTGCTAAATGCATTGGTGTACGATCTGCGCTTGAGCAGAATATACAGCATACAAATAAGCAAAAAAAGCAAATATGTTAAAAATACAATGTTTTACGCAGGAAACCGAACGTTACCCACCTTGATTGTCCGCAATGGACGCGGAAGCGCGCACGCCATAGAAGTACTTCAGCAGTGCCTCGTCACCTTCGGCGGCCGCTATGTGCAACGGTGTCTGGCCCTCACCATTCTGGGTGTCGACATTGGTGCCGTAATCGACCAGGATGCGAACCATATCGACATCCCGTCGTCTGGCGGCCAAATGCATGGCCGTGTCTCCATTAGCTGTTGTTGCCTGCGCAAAGAAGGTGAAGGAAAATACACACATATTTATTCAAATTACTGTTATGTGCTGATAAAGAAGAGTGAAATAATTTTCGCGGCAGTGCCACTGCGCGCATGGAAGTAAGGTATGAGCTAAAAAGGGAGAAGTAGGGGAGGGGAATTTTAATTGGCGCTGGAAATTATACACCACTATTCGGGGTCAAGATTTCGTCGGCGTTGCTTTTAACTAAAACATATGCAAACTGCGTGGCAGTCAAGTTGAATGTGAAGGTAAACAAGTTTGCGGGCTTTCGCATATTTCCGCATATGGGGTTGTAACGGAATACATACTTTGATGGTCACAATTGAATCAATTTATGAAATAGCTAGCTTAAAGCCAAATTAATTCTCCGCACAATGCCTTCAGTTTAGTGCAAAAGAAAACAAAAGTGTCTGAATGTGAAATCAGTTAGTCACGTGGTTTTTCGAAATCGCTTTGCACACATCTTGTAACAACTTTTGCGTGACTTCTTGCCACAGCCAATTCTGTAACCAGTAAATTGAAAGTGCCAGTAAATCAGAAAAGTTGCGCGTATAAAACTAGTTCATGGGGAATTCCTCGCATGAGCTTTAAATTTAGCTGCCGCTGAGTGCACTGTGACCGCCAGGCGAACTGCCATGACCCACTGCACGTCGCTGGCAATTTAATCAACGCATTCGCAAGTGAAAATTTTAATTTGCAACACCAAGAGCTTTTGTAAAGTTTGAGTGTTGCCGTCTAAAAGGTGCATACTTTCTGGCGTTGTGGCTTAATGTGTGTGTAGAAAAGCGTATGGCTGAGTGTGTAACTGCATCGTTGACTTCTAGAAGACCGCGTGCCACTTTTTGTTTGTGGCATGCAATGGCCGTCAATGTCATTGGTGCTGCGTGTGTTGCAAGTTTTACAAACACATGTACATACATATGTTGTTTACAAGTTTTTTGATATTGCACGCGTTGCAATAAAGAATAAAGATGGCTATACATACAAACTTTAAACATCTGTGCGTTGATTCGATTTGACTTTTTATGAACCAAGCCAATTTTTTTGCTCAAGTTTTTTTTAGGAATCCTGCTTCAGAGATTGATTTATGTGCTAGGAAAGTCACAAATCTTTGGGGATAAAGACATTTCAAGGCGGACAAAATGATTTACATGCACCGCCTAAAAAGTCATAAAATTCTAACGATCGAGATAAAGCGCTTAGTTAACCACTGGCCAGAACCTAAAGTCAAACCAGATTAAAATTCAGTCGTTTTTTGTAGAAAGAAAATTATTTTTAAGTTATAAGTATGTTTCTCAAATTTTCCGTTCCATAATTTTTGTAAATCTATCTATAGTTAGCTGCACGATTGTGAAGGTGAATAGGTGCGTACATATGAGAAAATGTCACGGGTTGTTACATTCTTCGACAAAAAGGTGTTTTTGGTGGAAAAGGGAGGCACACTTATATTAGGCATTGCATTATTTTCAGTTTGGAGTTTGGCGGCCACTGTGGTGTAGTGGTTAGCAGTGCGCGGTACTACTCTGCAGGGCCTGGGATCAAGCCCGGTTCAACCCAACATCAAAAAAAAAAAATTTATTTATAATAGCGGTCGTCCCTCGGCAGGCAATGGCAAACCTCCAAGTGCATTTCTGCCACGAGAACCAGCTTCTCATATAAATACAATTATGATTTTTTCAAGTGACAATGAAAAAATTAATAACTGCAGTACTTTTTCGCCTAAATAAACGTCTTAAGGCTTTTTCTAGAATCCCATTTATTGAAATAAATCACGAAAAATGCTTTCGAGTTTTTTCTGGCGAGAGAAGGGCGTGACAAAAAAAAACAATTCGTGAGAGTTGCTCAAGTTTAAAATGTTTAGCTAACAGCCGTTAGGATTTTTCTAAACGGAAAAAATAATACTCGTATTTTTTGTTAAAAAAAATTATATTTAGAACTGCCTCGAAGGCCATGAATTTTTCCATGTATGTATGTATTTTATATGATATGATATAGAGTTATTATAAATCAATATTTTTCGATCGGAAAACCTTATCTCTTTTCAGGAGACTTCTAATAATAATACCCAATTGTTTATTTAACTATTTTTATAGGCCTCTAAAAACAAATGTAATGGGGGCACTCATAAAAATCGATAGTGTTAAAAAGTGGTTACATAAAAATTTGGGTGTTGATCTGGAAGTCTCCTAGGGAAAACCAGAGTTTTCCGATTGAAAAATATTGATTTTGAAAATTATGTAACATTTCTAGGAAAATTTTTTTTCGCCATATAAATATACATACCTGGAAAACTTTAAGGGCTTTGAGGCAGTTCTAAATATAATTTCTTTTACATACATCCTAGGGGCGAGAGCTTAACATTTTAAGCTCCTCCCTCGCATATAAATTTTTGGGCAACCCTAATGTATAAGTAGTGTACAATAAATACATTTGTCGGTATTGTTAAGTGTAAAATTCTTCAAGTACCTTCAGTTGGTCCGATGTTTGAGCTGACAGCAGCTCTCTAACCATAGACTGATTACCGGATTCTACCGCAAGCAGCAGTGGTATTTTACCTCGCTGTAAATATAAAAAGAAAATATCGAGATCAATACAATGTTCAGTACATATACATACATGAATATCTATAAATATAATATTTTCAACGTTGTACTCCTAATATAGACACATACATACTTATTTATTACTTTGAAACATAGCGGTGGTTTGCTTAAAAAACTTGAACTCCATAAATCAAAACTGCGGGAAAAGTGCTTGAGAGTTTTTGGTCAGATTTTCCGCATAGAGCAATAATAAACAACAAACTATGAAAACTAAATTCTTGAGTTATTACGTTCTTGGGCAATCGAATAAAATTTTAGCCATCTAAATAGTAGATAAATCTTAAAGAATTGATAAAGAAATTTCCCTCTCCGATTTTTTGTAGAATTTTCCAACGCGAAACGCACTGTGCACATTCGATTATTTTACTAAATTTCGTAAGAAAATCGATACTTATCTCAATGAAAATAATGCTGTGATGTGAAGAATTTTTTCTAAATTTGTTGAGGATTTTCTTTAATCATTAAATACGAGTTCATGCTAACCACTTAATATAATTTTCTTGAAGAATTCTTAAAGTAATCGTTACAGAATTCGGAAAACACTTCCGATACTCCTAAAGATTTCGTTATGATTTTCGAATCTTTGGTTTGCCTGATATATGTGGGTCAAAATTTGCCAAAAGTTACCGTTGCAAATTTTATAGAGTCCTATATTTGTGAAAATATTTTAAAGTATTAGTGGCTTTCTATTACAAGGGTCTGATTTTTGTTTTTGCTTTTACTACACTTGGGGATTTTCAATTAATCATAACTTTTATCACAGTTAATCAAATTTGAAATTTATATGAATGTCTTTTTAAAGCATTTACCGAGCGCTCATTTGCACACTTGTCGAAATATTCTCGGTATGTAATTTGTAGAAAAATCTTAAATCATTTAACTAATATATCCTTTAGCGAATACAAAGACGTTATAGCTTGTTATATTTATTTTATTCTATGTACTTCTTGCCTCCTTCTTCTTATTTTTGTACACCGCAAAAATGTGTGCAGTAAATTTTCAGATTTTACTGGCCGGTCTTATTGCAATTCGGTATACCGAAATGAATCCGCTCCGATTTCATGTACGCGTCATTAGTGTGTAACTGCCAACTGAAATACATGTGGTCAGTAATCTTTCGGTATGGTTAGCCCTCCAAGGTGCTCACAGCTAGTGAGCACCCATTGTGTTACCACTGAAAAGAAAAAGATAATCCTGGATCGGTACAACAGGTAATTCCGCGAGCAGCTGATGTCCACCTTAAAGACTTTCTTTCTCTGGAGCAACCATGAAGTGCGACCCGAGATGTTTAAACTTGAGCCTCGCAAAGGCAGGGCAGCTGAGAAGATAGTGCTGTGATGATTCCACCTCATCGTCCTCCAGACAGTTGTCAAAAATGTCGATCCGGTATCGTACCAAGTAATAGATAAGCGCTCTTAGTGTAGGTGATAGGTAGGGTTGATTACAAAATGACATACATGATGCACTTAAGTATTGACAGGTTGACTATTTATTGTCTGATTTTAAAAATCAAGCAAGTTTTGAAAAGGGATTAAGAAACCGTTAAAATAATCCATACAATGCATCTTCTTAATTTTTTCTCCAATTTGACCATCGCTAATTTTAAAAATTTCTACGAATGTTGCCAATTGTGTGGTATTTATCTAAAAGTACATTTATTTTCGTATAACTTTATACCTCACTTTATGCAATTACATACAAATTGTCGCAGATAAGCAAATGTACGGTATTGAATTTATGTGTGAGTATGTACCGGCCCTTCATATTTTTTTAGCACTGTGGCCAAGTAATGTTTACTTAAAATTGATATATACCAGGGACCAAAAATCTCGAATTTGCAAATTGACAACGTTGCCCAAATTTTGAAATTTAACGAAAAGGTTACTTCATAACAGTTATTTAACGAGAACTATTTTTTCCATTGCTTGATAAACAGTTATTGCCCGACCTTTATTTTTTACGTTGCTGGAGAGCAGCTATTGCCCGATGCTAATTTTTACGTTGTCGCAAAAATAAGCGTTTGGAAATAATTCCTATCGGCAACGGAAAAATTATTTTTTCGGCATAACAGTTATCAGACAACGTAAAAATTAAAAGTTGGGTTATAACCCTTATCGACGAAATAAAAAATATTTATCATATAATAACTGTTATGGAGCAACGTTTTTGCGATAAAACTTATAACTCTTATGTCCCTGATATATACCATGGCTCATTAGCAAAAAGTTGGTATTTCATATAATTTTGAAAAATTGAGCGCGGTACCGCCCTCTTATGACCATGTAAGTTTATTACTTATATATATTTATTAAGTCTAACTGAACATACTGTCATTTTTATTTTTACGATCATATTATAACTGCCATTTACAGATTTTATTTTTAGATCAAAAAAGATTTAAATCGGTCATAAACACGCACTATCCTTTATAACGGTTAAAAATGATCGAAAAATTAAAATCCAAAACAAATTAATTTTATCGAAAAATAAAAATTCAAATTTAACGATTTTGCAATGATCTAAAAATAAAAATCTCGATATTTAACGGTTATTTTCGGTCCCTGATTATGACCGATTATTCTTATTAATAAAGTTTTTCGAAGTCATTGTAATTTTTTTAAAGTATGATTATTTATTAAAAAAGCATTGGCATTTAAGAAATTAGAATAATGATGATAGCCCTTTTTTGCTAAGAACTGTGTGAGTAAATTATACTCAGGGCCGTTTTTTCAAGTGGCTTTTAAAACAACAAAGAACAAAACTTGTGTGTAAAGAGCAAATACTTTTTAAAGAAAACGGCCCTCAGAAACACCATTAACAGTTAAACTTGGTATATTCGTAGCAGTATTCTCCAATACTCTTTCAAATTTCTTTATATAGCTCACTGATTTCGTCCAACGCTTTCGTGCTGAATAGGTTTTCTCAATTACGATTACCTTCAACAGAGCTCATTCAACAAGAGTTGCGTCTTTCTTTTGAAAAGAGGATGTATGGACGTTTAAAATGATAATAAACATCAATCGTAAGACTTAGATTGTTAGACTTAGATTGTTGGAAATTTTCATCGAGTAAATTTGAAAAAAGCTCCCATTTTCTTCTTTTATCCAACATTGGCTATCACTTATTTAAAAAATTTCTATGAAAGTTGTCAAACATGTGCTATTGCTATAAAAGCTCTTTTATTAGCAAACAAATTGAAGCCTTATTTTTTATCGAAAAATAATGATTCAAGTACTTAGGTATGGATTTTTCATAAAGCATTTGTTTCTGCAAGTTGTCAATGCATCTTCGTTCTGAAAAAATGTGTTTGAAGGGCAGATCAATTTAAAAAGCTACTTTAGAAAACTGCACTTAAAAACAAAATTAGTTGATGAATCGAAAAAAGTCTTTTCTTTAACTTTTTATAACTATTTCCTTTAGCACAAAAGTGCCCATCGATTTTCCCCACACACTTAACTTTCCAATGTGGTGCATTCATTCTATTTTAGCCCCCTCTTTAACTATTTCTGTTTGGTGCCCTAAATTATGCTGCAATTTTTACGCATTACGACGGCGTCTACGGAAATGTTGAAAGGTGTATGTTTATGTCATTGTTACTTGGATACTACAATGGGTTTTCAAACATTTTTACTGTTACCGGAGATAGACTTGTTTGTTTTTGGTTTCATACATACAATGAACATACTGTACTGACACACCCATTTACCGTCTAAACGAAAGGAAAGCAAATCTTTACTGAATTGTACTCATATGGGCATTTCCACCAGAAGGTCCATCGTAGACAAAATACTAAAGTTAATAAAATTCTATTGTTTTATATATTTCCATATTTTCAAAGGGAATTTTATTAAAAAAAAAAATTTACGCATATTCATAAATAATTTCGAGATATTTGAATGCATAGTCATACAATTGCAACTTTTCTCGTTTGGATATTTCTATTGCACGGTTTGGTTTCACAAAAGTTCTCAAAGAGAGACATTATGCATTGACTTTTGTTCTCTAAAATCCGTGTGGGAGTACAGAGAGTAAACAAAATATGCATAAGAAAGAATGCGATTGCCGGTGTGTGAATTAAATTTAGAAAAATGGATAAATAAGTTCTGGGTAAAATCAAAACAATTTTTAAGAGACATAAACTCTAAAATTAGTCACATTGACATGTTGCTTTAAGGTACGCTGAATTCGGAGTTCGAAGTGTTGGCCGCGAAAACCACTCAGGTTTTTTATCTCTTACGAATGCATCGGTATTTTGGAATTATGTTCATACATATGTGACCTGGTCTACGGAAAGGGGGCTTAGGTGTCAAAAAATCAATTTTCACTTTTTGGTTGATTCGGATGGAAGATGAGATGATTTTTCACGTGGTGAAAAGCAGAAAATCCTAACTTGCTTAGAAGTGTACTAAAAATGTTGAGAAAGAAGAGTAAAAATACGACAAAATATAATTTATTGGTAATGAACAAAATACATTGAATTATTGAAATGTTCCACACTAGCAACTTACACGATGAACTATAATAATATTCCGACCAACAACAACACTTACTGGACCAACAACAACACTTACTGGACGTCCGGCGCGGAGAACAATTAACGAGATAATGAGAAACTGACGAAACGAGTTGCTTACTTTTAACAGCTTTTTCACAGAAAACTAGTTTTCGCACGTAAGCTCCCTTTTCGTAGACCAGGTCCCATATATTGAAGACGAAAAATTGCCCAAAATCAACTTTAGCACCAAGTATAGGGCTAAATAAGTTCTATTATTAAATAAAAAAATAAAAAAATATCTATAAGTTAGTTTTTTTTTTCAGCTGGAATGTGTACGATGGTCACGTTCGACAAAATGGAAATGCCCATATGTATGCATGTATGTCGTCAAGTTTGTAAGTTTTGCTGCATTCATAAAGAGTTCAACTTTGCAAACTTCACCGACGCCAAGTTGCTGTCTCAGACACTTTCAGAACAAAAAAAAAAATACGGAAAAAACCTTTTGCGTGCCAAGGAGAAATCGACGAACGGACAAAGCTGTTGCAAACACATAAACTCGAGTAAGGTACAAACAAACACACATACATATACTTAGCACGTACATATGTATGTATGTGCTTATTTTGTGAAATAGAGCCAAGTTTACTGTTAAGTGGTTGGGCGGCAAAGCAAAAAGTAGTTTATGTTTTTCTATATGTACTTAAACGTGAGAAGGTGGACGAATTTTGAGGAAAATTTTCATATACAGCTGTGTACAATAAAATACTACTTTCGAAATTTGTGTTTTATCTTAAAAATATTTTCATTGCTTGAAGTGCAACGAGACTAAACTGGTGCATGAAATTACGAATGGGCGCTAAAGAGGCGGTGATATTTTCTCTAGGCTTTTATGACAACTGGGCCCAGATGGCGAGTATGCGAAGATGCTAAGGGAACTCGAATATAAAAGTTTGTAAGGCTTGTCTGGCATTTGGCCATATTTCCACTCTTTGCAGAAGTTTTATAATGGTCTCTATTCCCATCTTATTACATACAAGGTTGGAAAATCCACTGGGTAAGCTCTGCATGATCATGTAACGAAGATCGGAGTGGGATTGGAAGCGGGGGTCTTTGCTGTTATCGATGTGCGTAGGGCAACATTACTTTTCACTATGTGCGCTCTGCTCATAGATGGCACAGAGTAGAAGATATAGTCCTAAGATGGATTTCCTCGATCTTATCTAGAAGATTGATGACTGTAGGGGCTGTACGAAGATGGTCCTTCTATCATCAGGAAGCACAGAAAATCTTTTAAAGGACTGATAAATAGTGCAACTTTCAGGATATTACAGTCAACCCAAGAGAGACTACTCTAGTACTGTTTACGCAGAAAAGAAAATAGGAAGGTGACATTATTGAGGGCACCCTTGATATTTAGGAATACGCATATTCCGAAAACACCTTGAAAGATCGTGGAATATCTCTAAAAAATATCTAAGAAATAAGAAAGAAGTCATCGAATTTACTCGCTTGCAATGACACTATTCCATGGCAAATTCCATTTGCAAAAACAAACCAAAAATTCATAAGTAACCAAACCGAGCTGCAATGTTATTACGCTAAGCTGTACCTTTGTCTCTGCACTAATTTGTATGCAATGAATTACATTTGAATTTTAATTTATTGCAATGCAATCGAGTACATGTTGTCATTCCTAAAGTCTTGTCTTTGCAAAGAAATAGATCGTTGTATATTTCTTCTTCTTGCTCGTCAAATTCCCTACATCGATTTAGCAGTCTGAGTTCCTTACTGCTGTCGTTTGTTTGTTATGGTTCATGTTACTTTCATTAGCTCGTCTGCTTTCATGAACGTAAATAATGTGCATGTGTATATGTATGTATGTAGTTATATTATATGTAATTGTTTGTTTTTATATTATTCCGCTTATGAATTTTTGTATTCCTATTTTGGCCTTTCACATTCTCTCGTTCGCATTTATTATTTTGGGTATCCCAATTCTTTTTCCAATATTTTTGTTGTAGCTGTTTTTATTGTTGCTACAACTTGTTTATTAGCATTGCTGTTTCCGCTTCTACTACTTACATTTACAAAATATTTTTGTTTACGTTGGCACGGAATGACACGGCTTGGCTACAAAGCCAATAGCAACACACATACATATATATGTAGGTAAGTAGATGCATCAAAATGAAGGGTGTAGGCTAAGTACATATATTGCTATCCTTTGATTGTGAACATTGTGGCATTGGTAAAACGCATTTATATTTTTATTGTTATTGATATTTTCTTTGTGTTGGGATTTCTTCTTATCTCTTCTTGAAGCTATCAATTTTATCACTCATACGCACTGGTGTCCCTGATAATTAGATAAATACGTATATAAAATGGTCAGCTTTCACACAGATGGGTCCTAGGTCACACGGCTTATTCAACAAAATTTTCCAACCAAAGATTTTCTACTTTCTGCAAAGCCGCTAAAAATGTGTGGCGACTAGCTTTATCGTGATGGTATACAGCACTGAAGACTAACACTAATCGCTTATTTTGATCGCAAAAGTTGTTGGTAGGAGGTTGAATCTATGAAAGGCCTAAATCGGAATAGCCTTTAATGCCTTTCTAATACTACTTAACGCTCAGTTTGTGTAGTCACTATTCGTACAGTGTTAGGTAAACCCGATCGCGATCTCTTTCCTTACACTTTTCGTTCGCGATTCACATGTAATGGCTCGTAATGATTCTATGGTCGGTCCATTAATATGTAAATATATTATATGAAAGATCCAAACCCATTTTCTGGCCGGAATATCATTAGATGGGATATGTTGAAAGACTTCAATTTTTGGGAAAAATATTGTAAATTTTAGTTTAAAATTTCAATTAAAAATTTTTATTTTTAAATTTAAAATTTAATTTGAGTTTCAATTTTACATTGAGTATTAAGAAATGGATGCACAAACATATATGTAGTTCATTGCAAAATTATGAAAAATCTTACCTAATTGCCCAGAACTACCTCAGTAACTCCCATCAAGCTGATGAGTCATGACATTCGTCTCTTGGGGGGGTATGGAAATTGAACAAGAAATACGATAAGTCCATGTTTATATGAACGGATATAAGACCACCATCTTAACATCGAAAAGCTGAAAGCATAATAGACGGCCAATTTATTCGCCCCTCTACTCTCACACCTGCTCTCTGAGAGCACTCTTCAACAAACCGTCATACTCGAGCAGTGGAACCACGTTTGCCACTCATTGAGTACAGCCGCCGAAGAAGTAGTCGGATTTCAGCGAGCCCGAAAGAGCAACTTGTACGATGAGGAATGTCAAGAATCTGCAGAGAAAAACGATGCCGCCTATAGGGCTACGCTGCGATAGGGCGCAACGCATTCCATGTGTGACCGTCATAAGAAACGGAGGAAGGAAGTAAGACGTATTTGCCGCGATAAGAAGAGAGAGGCAGAAATAAGTGATTGCGAAGGATGACAGGCAAAACCCCAGAGTTAGGCGCCTTACGGAAGGTTTTAAGACAAGGGCCAACTCCTGTAAGAACAACTATGGAAACCTAGTATTTGATGTCCTGAACGTGCTTGAATTATAAAGGGAATAGTTTTCCAACCTCTTGATGGGCAACAGCACTGAAGGTAGTGGAGAAGACGAACACGAGCCCCCAGTCAATGACATGGAGTCGATGTCCCAGGCCTGACTATGACAAAGTACGAATACGTCAGCCTGCCAGCCGATCTTTTCAAGTATGGCGACAAAGAGCTGATAAGGTGCATGCATCAACTCTTATGCAGAATATGGTCAGATGAACGCATGCCCACAAGAAAATAATAATTTTTTTTGTTCAATTCCTTTCGTTTTTGAAGGTTACAGTTTGTAAGTCGAAAATATAGTTCTTTATTCGGAAATTTACGGTTTTTTGAGAAAATATCTGGCAACGCTGCTCGCCATATACCACCTTCATCGGGGCGTTAAATATTTAACCCAAACATTTCCGAAGTCCATCAAGAAGTTTTATTCGGAAAATTGAGAGAGATGCTGTTATACCCAAAAAAAATAGTCATCAGTCAGATTTGCCTATTGGTTAGCCGCACTGCCATAAAAATCGTCTTAAACTGCTCGGAAAGATTTAAAAACTTATTCCTTAAAATTTATTTGTTAACGATTGTCTCTTTTTCGGTATTAGTATTTTTGGTTTCTATAGTAGGGATTTCAGATTTGGGACAGGAGTTCAAGATTTTAGCTTTCTTTTTATGCTGTTCAAAAGATTCCACATTGCACTGTTAATCTACTACAAAAGTTAAAAAAAAATGGTAAAAACTCGTATGTAGACACTTTTTATTCAAAATTTCTCCCAAATGGCTGAAAAATTATATTATTCAGTATTAAGTTTGCTTCGATGCATCGATATTTTTCGATCCATCGGAGAGCATAAAGCGATGCATAGGATTTTTCGGATTTCATATTAAATACTATAACTGAGCTAATTATGTTTCTAACGGACTATTGAATCAGGTTAAACACTTTTTCGTGAAACCTAAAAAAATTTAAAAATTTAAATTTTTAAGTAATACACAATTCTGCCGTCATTTTTTAGGGTTTTCCATTTCATCCGATATTATGTTTAACAGTTACATACAACTTAAAATGTAATATTATTTAATATGTAGAAAATAACGAGGATGGTCGAGAAAAACGCTTATAAAAACAAAGCTACAGAAGAAAATTGCGTCATTAGTGAAACTTAATCTGCTTGAATGAGATGCACAATAGACTTGCAATCACGAGTTTTTCTAAAATATCTAAAATCTTTGGTCAAACTCGCTTTTCTTTATCGCACAAATGAAAAGCTAAAATGTTGGTTCAATGCACTACAGATGCATCGATAAATCGAGTGGAAAATTTTCGATGCATCGAAGCAAAACATCGATATTTTCGATGCATCGATATTTTTCCTACATCGATATTCTGTAGTCCCTTTGTGTGACCGTTATTTGGTTCAACAGGAAAATTGTGCTCACTATTTTTTAATTATTTGTATGCATCTCATTCATATCGGTAGTAGTTCATATTATAAACTAGTGGATAGTTTTAAAAAATCACTTTACTTATACTCGTAATATATAAAATGTTTGCTTACCCCGTCTACTTTTAGGCGAATTTCCTTTCCAGCTGCAGCTAAAAGAGCGCGCAAAATATTTGTTGCCGTTCCTGTTTGTCGACTGGAGACCAAATGTACAGCAGTTTGGGTGCGAGACTGCAAAATAAAATACAAATTTATGATTTTCTATATGTTTAAATAACGATGTAAAAATTTATTGAACTTTAAAATGAGAAGTAATCATTTTCACGCAAAAAAAAATTTACACAAATTGAAAAGCCTTTTTGAGTTAAAACAAAATAAGCTACGATACAAATTTTAGCAAATCTAATTATATTGAGAATATCACCTTTTTAAATCTGCGATGAAATTTAAATTATTATTATTTTTTATTATTATTATTTTTTTTCTCAATTTGGAAAAATTTGCCTTTGAAAAAAATCGAAATAAAATATTGTAAGCGCTACAACCGCTCTCTGCAATAGTCTCGAATGCAACTACTTGCAACGATGAAATTGAATACTCACCTAGCGGCAATAAATTCAAGTACCTTCGAATTTACGTGAAAATCTTCGATTACGGGTGTGAAAATTGATGGTGAATAAAGTGCAAAATTAAATGCAAAAACAATGCAAGCGAAGAATGGGAAACAAACGGAAATCGCAGTAAAACGTTGTTAGAAAGTTAGGCATGTCATTCGATAGAATTTACGACAACTAAGTTGTAGTACAGTAGTGCCTTGATTGAATTGTCTTGCAATTGCGGGAAGCACTTCAGGCTAAAGGGCAGTTTATAAATAAGAACAAACTCTATGGAGTCTTTCAAGAGAAGAATTGCAAATAAAACTACATTTTTATTACTAAAGACCTTTTTTAACTCGTATGTACATACATATATATGTATGTTAACTAACAAATTCTCATCTGGCTTACTGTTGTCCAGTGTATTGAAGTAATACTCTACGGCTATTTTTAACACTAACACATTTTACCATCCCCTAGTAACGCTTAAAAGTCAGCAAGTGCAATTACTTGGGGAAATACATTAACCCAGTCGGAACTTTAATTACACAAAAAGGATTCTATAATTCACAAAAAATGCCGCATAAATAACTCTTTAGTTCACAAAATTTGTATAGCTTACCCTTAAAATTCGCAATAAAAACTTCGTTGAAGCTATAAAAGGGTCGGCAGAGATGTGGCGAGTATATGATTTAGAAAACGGTTTTTAAATTACCTCATTGGGCGATGTTTTATCAATGCCAGTATAACACTAAGGACTGCGTTTGAAAAAATTATCACCTATATTTTATTTGAGGCGAATTCATATAAGGTGGTGTTAACAGAACAGTTCAAGATTTTAAGACGAATTGTGCTGATTGTTTATGGTACACTTTTTGTGTTCTGGTCGTCATAATTATTATAATTTCTTAGTGTAGTTTTTTTTTTTGATTTTATGTCCTGCCATCTTGTATGAGTTCGCCTTGAATTGATCCAATACATTTTTTTAAACACTCAATTTGAAAATTCTTTTCTTAGTAAGCTTCAAACTGATTGTCAGTAAAGTACCATTTTCGCTAGAAGCTTTCATTCAGCTTTTAAGATGACCTTTAGTGGACATAAAAAATAATAATTGTTCCGGAAATAAAAGTTAGCTTTTGGTGCCGAGTAGTGGAAACAGGAGTTTGTTAAGTGTCGAGATCTAAAACTATTCAGCTACAGAATCAAATTCATCAGCTAAAGATAGTATTTCAATTATTGAGAGTGGAAATGATAGTTTTCTTTATAGTAAAAATCCAGTCCGATATATCAAACGTGCTGAAATGAGAGTTAATATCTTGACATAAACAACGGAATGAATCGTTTAGTTCAAATCAAGTTTTACATGGCTTCAAAAACCCAGGTGGAAAGTGTCTTGGCACACGAGAGGGGACATTAAAATTAACCCCAGCCAGCAGGGTCGGGCTATTAATAAAGCCTGTCATTAATTTTACGATAAATATTATACCTAGCATTTCTCTACGACTTGCGAGTGTAGGCAAATTTATGAGCTTTAGACGACTTGTGTGAGCGGGGAGGTTGTAGTCTGAATCCCAGTTAAAATTACGCAATGCAAAAAGCAAGAATTGTTTTTGAATTGATTCAATGCTTTCTGAATGAACTTGGTAGCGGGGATTCCAAACAATAGATCCGTATTCTTGTATAGGTCTAACTAAACTGGTAAAAAGAACTTTTGTAACATAAGGATCTTTGAACTCTATTGACCATCGCTTTACAAATGCAAAAACGCCTTTGGCTTTATCGACTGTAACATTAATATAATGGTTGAAATTGAGTTTAGAATCCATTGTGATCGACAAAATTGGATACCTGCTCCAGATTATAATTTGATATTGAATAAACAGCTGGTTGAACAGCCCTCCGAGAGAAACACATAACTTTACATTTTTGAAGGTTTAGTGGCATATAGTTTGTATTACACCAACTAACCACGTTGTTCAGATCCGCTTGTAACAAAGACCTTTCTTCGATAGAGGACAATGTTTTAAAAAGTTTCACATCATCGCCATACATTAAAATTTTTTAATGTTTTATTACAAAAGAAATATCATTAATGAATATCAGGAACAGAATCGGACCAAGGTGGCTTCCCTGAGGAACTCCTGAAGAAACTTTAATGATGTTGGAAGAACAATTATTAACAATAACTCTTTGTGTTCTATCAGAGAGGTAAGATGAGATCCATTGAAGAAGACTGGGCTGAAAGCCGATTAGGTCGAGTTTACGGATGAGTAACGAGTGACATACTTTGTCAAAAGCTTTACTGAAATCGGTGTATATTACGTCGGTATGAGCATTTTCTCTAAAACCGTTTGAGACATGAGTTGTAAACTCCAATAAATTAGTCATAGTAGATTTTCCTTTAGAAAACCCTTGTTGAGATTGTGTAATTGAAGAAGATATAGAATATGTCAGCTGGTTAACAATAATTGCTTCGAATAATTTGGGGATAGCGGAGAGTTTCGCTGTGCCTCGATAGTTTTCTATAGAGGACCTGCTGCCGTTTTTGTGAAGTGGTATTATGAAAGACTCCTTCCAGGCTGACGGAAAAACGCCATGTTTAAGTGACAAATTGAATAGAATTGTTAAAGGCTCGCAGATGTTCTCAGCGCAGTTTTTAAGAAAACCGGTCGGAATATGATCAGGTCCAGGCCTAAATGACGCTTTTAAGGTTTTTAAATAGTGTAAAACTTCATCGGAAATATTACTGGAATATACGCATAGTTGGGAGGATGGTTCCGTGCGCAGAAGTGGAAAACTTTTGACTGCCATTCACCTGGGAGTGGCCAGAAGCGATTCTTGTGCGTACGGTTCAAATCGCAGCTCACAACGTCCGGATATTTATATCCACGTATCCTCTGGGTAGCAACCAAACACCCGTTTGGGAGCGAGCTAAAGTGAGAAGGCGTAAAACTTCGCGTGCGCTGGGTTTTGGGTCCCGCCACGTTAAAACCCCGCCCAATGAAAAATTCCAACAAGCCTCGGATGAGACCCCCTTTTTCTGATGACGACCACGGCAAACGTATAAAGGACTATGATTTAAGGGTATGCACCTGGAATATCCGGACCCTTAATGGGGAAGGTGCCTCTGCCCGGCTGGTTGATGTCCTCGGGAAGACAAAGGCTGACATCACCGCCATCCAAGAAATGCGATGGACGGGGCAAGGTAAAGTAAGCGTGAAGCCTTGCGACGTCTACTACAGTTGCCACGTAAAGGAGCGCAAATTCGGTGTTGGATTCGTGGTAGGAGAGAGACTCCGTCGCCGAGTACTGGCGTTCACCCCGGTGGACGATCGTCTAGCCACAATCCGCATCAAAGCTAGATT